TGCTCTCAGAGACCAGCATTCAAAAGGTATCCCGAGCACAAACCCTGAGCCAGAACTTCTGGAGAGTGGGGGCTGGAGCTGAACTCTGACAGGATGGCAGGTAATGTGCAAAGGGAAGACTTGTGCCTGCGCAAATGCAGACTCAGCTCAGGACTAAGGCTGAGTGACAGAGGTCTCAGGATCACCAAAGTCAGCAGAGTTTGCTCTCTGGCTTCCTTGTCTTGTCCCACATGAATGGCAGTAGAGTTAGCCCTGAGATCATTCCCAGACAGACTCCCATCCCTAGTGGGACTTCACAAGTGGACACTAGGAAGACAAACGAATGCCTATTCTCCAGATAACATAAGAAAAATCATTTCACATTCATGTTGTTGTTAAGTGCTGTCAAATCGGTCCCAATTCGTAGCGACCCTGTACAGGGTTTCCAAGGTGGGTTTGTGGTTCACAGTTCAATGTTTATCCTACAGCACCTCGCCAGGAATCCACATTCATCAAGAACCTTAAAATCAAGGCATTTCTGGGGGTTTTTTTTTGCTCAAATGCCAAGTGTGGTTTGTGAGTAAGGTCACAGAAATGAAGTAAGAGGACTGAAAGGGCTGCTTACCACACTCCCTGAGCCTCATATCTGTCATGGGCCAACCTCCCTTCAGAGCCTGTCAGTTTGTTACAAATCTGAGGAACACGAATAACCCAGAGCAGTTGCAATGGATTTCTGTCCTTAAAATATTTTATAACTGTAGTTAGCACTTACAATAAAAGGCAATTTTTATCTCCCCTTCCCCGCAAAAAAAAAAAAAAAAAAAGCTGAATTAATGTTCAGCTCACAAAGTTGTCAGAGATCCCAGAGAAAGCTGTAAGAATGGCTTAAACAACTTTCCCGTAAAAGTGGGGGAAGTTTTGGCACTTAAACCAAGTTGGGAAATTTCATGCAGAACAGCTGCCTAAGAGCAAAGAGGGAGGAAGCCTCATCATGTCCACATGTGTCCCCTTCCAGTGTTTTCTCCTGGCCAGCTGTCTATTTACTGTACAGTTCACATGACAATAATCTCAAAATAGCTATGGTCCAAGGTATACAGTTGCTATGAGAGCAGCTTAATGTAAGGAAAGGTGTGAAGGTGTGCTGGGGGCCAGGAGAGGCATGAGGCGCTCCCATTCTGCAGTTCTCAGAGCTGTGAATGCAGCGATGAATCAGAGCTGGGGGCGGCTGACAGGCAGGTGGCAGGTGCCCTAGAAACATGGGAAATGTGTGGCTCTGGGCTTGTGAGCCCCACCCAATACCTAATGTGAGGCTTTGCTCTCTTCAGAAGATAAAGTTCAGCTGAACTGGAGAGGAGGGAACTAAGATGAGGAAGGAGCAGGAAATTAGTATAGCTCATCTTTTAGCCCCTTTGAATATCCAGGATATTCAAGGAGCTCTGGTAGCGGTTACGAGTTGGGCTGCTAACCTCAAGGTCAGAAGTTCAAAACTACCAGCCATTCCACAGGAGAAAGATGAGGCTTTGTGCTCCCGTAAAGATTCACAGCCTTGGAAACCCTATACAGGGTCACTATGAGTCAGAATCGACTCTACGGCACACCGCCACCACCATCCAGTATGTTCACTCCTAACCAGCTCAATAATTACCAAATCTGAGGCCCTGCTCGAAGCTTCCCTGAATTAAGTCCAGACTGCAGGCTGTCTGCCCAGCCTCCCTCCCTAGAGAATCCCCAGATTCTGGTGGCCTCCTCCCCCTCTTGAAGCTGCTGCCCCTCGAGTACAAGGGTAAATAAAAAATATTTCTACAAGGTCATAGTCATAGATCCCTTTATTCAACAAAAATACCAAAACGTGAAGCTATTGTTTCTTGGCATATCCTAGGTCTGTACATGCCAGAAGGTAGAGGCTCCATCTCTAAACCTTCCCCGAAGAATTCTGTGCACTTCAATTTACATCACATCAAAGTGGCAGTTTGGGCATCCTCGAGGGACTCAAATTATGTTCCTTTTAATGTTCTTGGAGTTAGGGGAACAAAAAGAAGTGAAGGGACAGGATTAAGCTGTAAGGTGGATGGAGTAAAATTACCCAATGAAATTCACAAGGACAGCCCTGCACCCTTGAAAGAGCAGGTGCACTGTCGTGATAGAAAATAAGTTCTCACCACAACTTTGCTGGCCTTTTTCTCACTTCTTTATAATGAGGCCCCATGATAGTCCTGTGTCTTTCCAGTTTTCCCTTTGGAATCCCAAAAACACAGTCACCGTAACATTCTTAGCTGATCTGCTGGGAAACCACTGTTTTGATTGGACTTTTTTTTTTTTTTTTCATTGAAGGCACTCTAAAGAGGCAAAGACAAGTGGATTGCTGAGAGAACTTATCTGTAGCCTTCCACGGATTGCAAAGATATGTTTAAACACATTTTGAATAAGCCCATGCATGTAACAATTGGAACCTTAGTTGCTTACTCTTTCTTATACACTACCACAAGGCTGAAGGGGGAGGGCAGAACAGGAAACCGTCATCCCAACCCTCACATGTCACTGGACTTGCTTGAGCAGGCCCCTTAGGTGGTTCCTACTGGCTAGTTCTCCCCAAGGCCTCACATTGCCACTATTTGGGGCCTGGGGTTCTTCCTTGCTCTCACATCATAATCTCCTTTCTCAAGTTCTCCACCCAAGTTTCTACCTCAGTTCCTAAGGGAAACAAAATTCAGTGACATCTTCATAATGGCTGCCCACAAGGAAGGTAGTCGTCTCTACTCAGTCAGTTCCAGCCTTCCCCAGTCACAAGAAAGCATCACACTTATACCCACACACCCACACCCACCCCAGTCAGGGTTTCTAAAAGCAGTGTGGGAAAGTGCCTATCATATCTGCATAATGAAAAAAAGCACCTATCAGAGGGTCTTCCCCCAGAGGAGAATTCTGCATTAGGCAAGGCTTATGTGTCTTGGTTCCATTCAAAAAGCAGGTGGCAACCTTGTCCTTCAAGAGATGTCAGTGCTTGGCCTCTTCCTCAGGGATCTTTTGGACAGTAACCTCTGTCCCAGGTACAGAGAAGGGTCTAGTACCAGGGCAGCCGTGCACCCATGCCTATGCATTCACATCCATCCTGGAGCACCTGGGCCCACCAGTGCCAGGAGAGCTGGGGATATTGGACTAGTAGGTGAGAACGGGGTGGCCTGGAGAGACACTGCAGCCATGGGATGCTGGGACCTGTCCAGAGGGAGCACCATGGCCCAGCGGTATGAGCGGTGAGTGGATTCCGACTCTCAGCGACCCTGCATAGAGTTTCTGAGGAGCAGCTGGTGGGTGTGAACTCCTGCCCTTGTGGTTCACAGACCAATGCTTGTCAGACCTAAAGAAGAAAAGACTCCATTTTGCACTTAGGCCGGAGCACTTCTCCCTGTTTCAGGAATGCACCAGGTCAGCTCGTGCTGCATGAGAGCAGCCCTCCTTCCCTAGTGAGCAGTAAATAATAGATAAACATTGCTGACAACTCAAGGCCGGATGATATATGTTTTCCTTTGCCCTAACCTAACAGCTCAGGCTACCAATAGTAACCAATCAGATTATAACACCCCATACCTTGCAAAATGTAGACCAATCCTAGAGTAGCTAAGCTGAAGACCCCCAACCTGCTTGTAACCTCTATAAAAACCCTGCTGGCTAAGAGTTCTAGGCCTTTTATCCAAAGAGTCGGATATGGATGAGGCCCGAGCTTGGGCTTGAATAAACAACCCTTATGTGCTTGCATCAGCGTCGGCTCCTTGGTGGTCTTTGGGGACCCTGTAAACTGGGCACTACATGCTGATCCACCACTGGCAGCTGTTATCTGCTCAGGTTGAGGGAATAGGAGAGAGAAAGGTTTCCTTTGGCCTTCATGTATCCTGCCTGCCTGAGGCTGGCTCAGAAGCCATTGTTTTCCTGCATGAGATCACAGAGGTAGTTGGGCAGGCCCCGCCCACTTCCTCAGTTTGGGTTCTCACTGCCAAGTCAGAGTATGGGTCCCAGTACCCTGGGAGCTGCTGGCCAGGGGACAGGGTGCTGTGGGAGCTCAGGGCTGGTGCTTCCCCAGGAACCATCGGGGCATGAAGGTCACAGGCCTCCCCTTTTCTCCTGCTCCTGTTGACCCTGAATGCCCCCACCCCAGCTGTGCTGGCCCCCAGGCCCTGATTACTTCAAGGATCCAGTCAGAAAAGATGCAGGCTGGTGGAACCTACCACACAAGCTGGAGGCCGGGTGTGTGGGGGTGAGTGGAGGGCTGTGTGTACTCAGGAGTGAGGGCCCCCCAGCTCCAACCCGCTTTCTGCTCTGTCTGCTGCTCTCTGGACCCCAAACCTAGTTTCGACTGTCGTGTTCGTGTGAGTTGGTTCTGACTGACAGAGAATCTGAGACAGAGTGGAACAGCCCTGTTGGGCTTTCTTGGCTGTCTCTTTACAGCAGCTGATTGCCAGGCATTTATTCTGTGAGAGCCAACTAGGAGTTCTTAACCAGGGCCCCTGAACCCTGGTGTACAAGGGGACTTCATAAAGTTCAAGGAAAGTTTCCAGTATCTTTTCATTCCGTTTTTCCATGTGAATAAGGCCATTTTTCCGTGGGACCAGGATGCCAAAAGCATCAGGAGCTCTGCTTCAGGGCCTCCTGGTCTGGCCCTGATGATGCCTGCCTTTCAAAACCTCCGCTGACCTCAGGCTGGGGCCTTGGGCCAGTCCTCCCCAGAGCAGAGGGACTTAGGCCTCCCTTTCAAAAGGCCCTCTTGAAAACATTTTCCTGATGCCTGGGCAAGCCTATGGAGAGGGGCAGACTGGGGAGGGAAGACAAGGTCTCAGGCTGTTAAAAATACTGATAGGACCCTCAGAGACATGAGTGAGTCTGATTCCCTCCCCTGTGGGCCTGTTTCCCTTCTATGGAATGTAGGGCTAAGACCACACGTCAGACTTGAGTGACTCTTCTTTCCTGTCCTAGGCCTGGGGTAGGTGGCCGGCTCCTTCCTACTGGTCCTCTGCTCTCTCCCTCCATCCATGGCCCTGCCCAACCCCTACCCAACTCCAAGCCTCCCAGAAGTCTTAGCACCTCCTGAGTCCCCCCAGGAGACTCTGGATCCAACTGAGAGTCCAAGGTCCTGGGAGGAGCAGTCATCGCCTTCCAGAGACCTTCAGGAAGAGACCCACAAAACACAGGAACCAGAGCTTTCCATAGAACCCCTGGGCGAGCTGCCGCAGCAGGAACTGCCCCCAGAGGAGCCACTGCCAAAGGATGCAGATGCTGAGGCGCCCCCCAGCATGCACATACTCTATGTGACCCACCTGAACCCCCAGTTCTCTGTGCCGGTACTCACCTGCCTGCTACGAGACACCCTGGAGCGGCTTGAGGTGCCTGTGGAGAGGGAACACATCCAGGTGGTGAAGAGATCCCGGAAGGCCTATGCTGTGGTGCAGGTGGCCACCCCCAAGGCCACCCTGGCCTCCCTCCCCTTACGCCTGCAGATGGCTTCAGAGGCACACTTGATCCTCAAGGAGCTGACAGCCCACGGGAAGGAGCTGCTGGTGAGTGAGTGCCAGAAGTCCTTGGACCACAGAGAGGTAAGGAGTCTTTCACAGGCTACCAGGTGCAGGGAGAGGCCAGGGTGCAGATGGCCTGTGCTGGGTTGGGCGGAGGGGTGTCTTGAAGGAGCTGGGGACACATCTGCCAGGTGGAAATCACTGTGGCCTGAAACCCAGGTACAACAGGTGTCCACTGATCATCGCTGACACTCATGGTTTACTTCCAGTCTTGATGCACATGTGAAGCGGTCCCTTGGCCCTGGGCCCCTCTGCACCCCTGCCTCTGGGCCTGGACACACAGAGGTGCTGATTTTCTCCTTGACCTACCTCCTTCATTGAGTTGATAAACACTGTGCCTGCCTGCCCGCCCCCACCAGTAAGGCAGGGGGAGCTACCTGCATAGGGGAGCGCTCATCTGTGAGCAGAGCCTGCTGGCCAGTCAGTTTACAAAGCAGCCAGGTGGCTGCCCCGGGCTGGGGAGGAGACCTGGGGAGAAGACCAGGAGGCTCTCCAGATTCACTGGGGAAGTAAAATCCAAGCTGGGACTCAAGAGTTTGACAGGCAGGCACTCAAGTGGGAAGGGCATTCCAGACAGAGGGCAGGCTAGTCACTGGCCATCCCTGGAGTTCAGACCAAAGGCTCCAGGTGGGGCACAAAGGAAAACAGCTGGGGCCAGGCAGTCAGGACTGCAAAAGCAGGAAAGGACTGAAAGGCTGACTTTTAGAAGGTGGGAGTAGATATTGAACTCACTGTGGTTGTGGTGGGTTACTGCCGTAGACAGGTTTTCTCACTTGCGGGTTGGGAGGGGGGAGGTGAAAATGCTGTGGGGTTTATTGCAGAACTACATAGCTCCACGTGCCTGATGTCCTGATGTTTCTAAGGATGACCCAATTTGCTTCTCAGGGAGCAGCAGGGTTTGTGGGGATGGGCTCCAGTCCTGTAAGGTGGGAGACCTGCAGTCAGCCGGAAGCTGTGAGAGAGCTGTAGAGGAGAGACTTGATCTGGCTTGCATTTGGGGTCAGTGGGAGGATGCGTTAGTGTGGAGAAGACCAGTGAGGGGCTGGCAGGGTCATCAGGGACCAACTGAGAAGGTGCAGAGGCCATGCAAATGCTGGTGCAGAGGCCTTGAGCACACACATGAGTCCAGGGAGGGCTCTCAGGAGGGGTTGAGGGAACCAGGAGGATTTGTCCATGGTTAGGAAAGTGATGACAAGGGTTTCAGGGAAATTAGGAAGGGGTCCCTCTCAATTCCGGGACTTCACAGTGCTAATTCCTCCTGGAATGACCCCATCGTGGGTCTTGGAGGTGGCCCACAGCCAGGGAGAAGTCCCATCATCCTTCACCAAGCTCATAGGGGGTCAGCCCAGCATGGGAAGAATTTGACCCAGCTGAGGCCTCAGACCCTGTGGGTTGGGCGGAGGGGTGGCTAACCTTTTCAAGGTGTTCAGCAGGAGGTTCAGATTGGGCCCTTCGGCCAGGAGGGGGCACCAGGAGGTGCATGTGGGGGCTGCTTGGAAAGGCTGGAGAAGTGGGAGGGAGCTCTAGCAGGCTGGCGCACACACTACTTGCTCAGGGCTGCCCGCGACACTGTTGTAGATGCCCTCCATTCTGCAGGAGGCACGCGGCAGCAGCCGAAGCCTGGGCCCCAGAGCGTGCGCTCACCCAGTGAGGCAGTTGGTCCCACCGTCCAGCTGGTCCGGGGCCTCTCAGGGGCTATGGAACGGTCCCCACCCGCCCAGCGGCACACGCTCCGACAGTGCCATCGTGAGTCAGGAGATCGTGGGCCGGGAAAGGCTCTTCCAGGGCGCCTTCCTGGGTAACGAGACGCGAAACGTGGAGTTCAAACGCGGTGGCGGCGAGTACCTGAACCTGGCGCTCAAGCACCACGTGCGGCGCTACGTGTGTGCCTTCCTCAACAGCGAGGGCGGCTACCTGTTCGTGGGCGTCGAGGACAGTGGCCTGGTGCAGGGTATCCGCTGCAGCCACCACGAGGAGGACCGCGTGCGCCTGCTGGTGGACTCCATCCTGCAATGCTTCAAGCCCCAGGTCTTCCCCGACGCCTACACCCTGACTTTCATCCCTGTGGTCAGCACCGATGCCACTGGCCACCCCCTCAAGGTAAGCCTGTGGGACAGCAGTGTTTTTTGAGTCTCAGTTTTGCCCTCTGTCACCACCTACCCCATGATGGGCCATCTACTCTAAGCACACTCTGAACAACCTAGGCCCAGGAGGCTGATTAAGGGAAGTTTGGGAAGGAGGACCGGAAAAGAGGCTGGAAGGAACCCTGCCCTCACCCCATCAAGCTCCTTAAGGAGTCAGTGAATCAGGTGGTAGCGGTCTAGGCCGGCTTGGGGGCTGCAATCTGTCAAGGGCAGCGTCCGCCAGCGCAGCTGTTGCCATTACCAAGGTGATCCGTCTGTGCGTGCACCCGCCCAAGGTCCAGAGCGAGCCGCAGCTCTACGAGACCGACCAGGGGGAAGTGTATCTGCGGCGCGACGGCAGCATCCAGGGCCCGCTGACCAGCAGTGCCATCCAGGAGTGGTGCCAGCAGGTAATGAGACTGTCCAATCGCCGAGCAGTGCCCATTGCCCACCAAGTACACGGGAGAAGACAAATTAGAGCAACCCACTACACTACATCCTGTAGTCCACTGCCTCATGCCCGGGAGTGGGGGTGAGGTGGGTATCACACCTTCCAGGGTGCCTCCTTGGCTTGGGGGTTAAGGTGTTGAATCCTTGAGTGACTGGGAGCTAGGAGACTGGCAATGATGAGTCCACCCCAGAGGCTGGGACTCTGACAGGACCTCACATCAGACCCCAGAGCCAACTTCACAAGTGGTGGCCTGGCCAGTGGACCTAGTTTCCCCACCTAATAATGCCAACATGTCCAGTGGCTGTGAGCGAGGCCCCTCAGGCTCCGCTGGGGGTGATGGACAGGCCTGAGTGGTCAGCTTGGACAACTTGTGCTTCTGATGCCCCTTCAGAAATGGAGAGTGGAAGTGGGCAAGCTGGAGGAGAAGGTGAAGGTGCTAACGGTGGAGAGGGAACAGCTCCAGCAGCAACTCCAGCAGTCACGGCTAACCTCCTGCACTTGCTGTGTCCTGTGAGGCACCCAGAGCCTTCCTTCGCACAGGAGAGGTGCAGCACTCCACACTGCCCCCCCCCCTCCCCCCCCGAGTCCTGCCAGGGAGGAGGGACTGCTCACAGGTGGCTGGGAGTGCTGCTACCTCCTCCAGCAGTCTTGCCCACTGGTGTTTGAAACAGCTCCACAGGGCTCCAGCTCTGAGCAGACCCAAGTCTGGGTGGCTAAGAAATTGCTCTTAGCACCATCCTCACAGAACCTTCACTTTTGGGAAGAACTTGGTCAAAGCCACCCCAGGACCAAGCTGTAAAAGGACTGTCCCTCTCCCTAAAACAATCGTTTTGACTAGACTAGGATCTAGGACTTTGGTTAGCTAGATGGGGAGTCTGGCATCTTCCACAGAAAGCAAGGACTATCCAGTCACGGTGGTTAAAGGCCAAACCGGCCACCCTGTAGCCCTCATCCCTGACATGTGGGATTGTCAAGGATCCTTAATAAATCACATGCACCTGGATTGAGAATGGTTCTTTCTAGGCTGCTTGGCCAACCAGTTGGGTGCAATGAGGTCATGAGTCCCAAGTCATTATACCTGTGTGCAGGGGGCAGGGCAGTCTGGCTCCAGTCCAGCTCGGCCTTAAAGACAGGGTGCCTTGGGGGCTACTACACCTGTTTGCTTCAGTTTTCCCACCTATAAGACAGGTGGCTGAGAAAACAGCAGAGGGCCTTGCCCCTGCTATCTGCATCAGCAGTCACACTAGTAAAACAAAGACCAGAGCCCTCCAAAAGCTCCTTTCAATCACGAGGGCCCAACAGTGGCCTACCTAATCCTCCATGGCTTGGTTCACCAGCCCTCAACTCATCTGCCCGTTGTTTATGCCAATCCAGCAGCCACTGTGGTACCACTTCTGCACTGGCTGTCCCCCTAGAATGCTCTCCCCGCAAACCTGCAGGACTCATTTCCTCTCCACCTTCAAGTCCACACTCAACTTTCCTCCCACCCTCTTTTCAATGATGCCCTCCCCCTCCCCTGCATCTTTTTGCTCCATCGCTCTGGTCACCAGCTGACATGCTGTAGCTTTGCCCAGTGTCCCCTCACTAGAACACGTGCTCCAGAGTATGGGAGGTTGGGTCAGCCTGCTTCACTGGGACTCTTTTCTTCAAAACTTCTTGGGTCTGTTTCAGAACCATGTGGCAAGCACGAAATCAGTATTTGCAAAATGAGGTAGTCATGGGTACTCCAAATTCGGGACCTGGGGCACTGGGAAATCAGGGCACATTGTTGAACAGGTCATGTCACAGGACCAAATATGAGGATAGACAACTGTCTCATAACAGATCGACTCCTGTCACCCACTCCACTGTGTCACCAACCACAGGGACTGAACCAGCCTCCAACAGAGGCTGTTTGAGTGAAGGACATGCTACTCAAGAGGTCAGAGGACTCAGCATTTCTGAGCACCAAACTCAGCCTCCTCACAGGTGGGAGGGGGAATGGAACCTTGGCATGATGAAGTTTCTACAAAGGCAGGAAGAACTCGTGTTTTATTGAAAAGACCCAGGAAACGTTTCTTCCCTATTAAGAATAGGCCTCTGGACTAGAGTGGAGAGTAACACGTCCAGCTGGTAAGAGAGGGCACATGCACAAGAACACCCACACTTGCAGATAATACCCACTTGACCTGGCTTCAATGGCTGGTTGATCAGAGCTCAGAAGAGGAGGATAAAAAAAATAATCTGATACAATTTGATGAACTTGGCATACACCAATGGAAGCAGTAGCTCAAAAGAGGTAACAAATCTTCACAGCAATGATTCCCACCTCCTCCACACATGGAAAGGACAGGAATGGGCAACTTGGACACTGGTTACCCAGAATGGGGGTGCTACAGAGGCAAGAAGTAACTGGCTTACAAGAGGGAACCTAGATGCAGAGAGCATGGAGGAAGGTAGAATCTCCACTGAGTAGAATCCATTCTGCCTAGTCAGAGCTGATGAAAGGAGATGCAGATAGGTCTCTTGCGATACAACAGTGAATAACTGTTATCAGGACTGACAGACAGTAAGGGCTGGGAATGTAAAGGTAGTTTTGGGGCAAAGGAAGGGGAGTGTAGTCTAGGAGCAGAGGTCCCTGGGACCATCAAAGGAGAAGAGTGGAGAACAGAAACCTACCCAGAGAAGCAGTGATGCCAGGGTTGGAGGCAGAGACGGCGACGTGGGGAGATGGAGCGGCTGGGGACTTTGGACCCGTGAGAGGGAGAGGGGCTGTATGTGGACGACTGGGGGACAGGATTGCGGGGTATAACCTTTGGTTGATGGATGATGCATGGAGGGGATTGTAACCATGGCAAGGAAACGATACACGATGGTATCAATGTGAAGCTGATGTCCTCCCATGAAAACTATCACATAATTCACAAAGCATTAAAAAAAAAAAAAAAATGAAAACGCAATGTGTGGGCTTTATTAAGATGAAACACTTCTGTGTATTTAAAAAAAAATAAAAATAGGCCTCTGAGCACTGGCTAGTCAACTCTGGGCTTCAGCCAGGACAGCAGAGCTGATGGGGCTTTGTAAGCCAGCACACAAGTCAGTTGGCTGAGGTTCTCTTAAAGGCAAGGTGGGATGGCACCGATGTTGGGGGGCTTTTTCAAACCAACCACACACATACATTGCATTCAAATGTGCATTCACACTTACACCCACCACACCCACTGTGCTGCTGATAGCAGTGGGTACCATTTGGGGAATGCTTTTTTAAAGATCAGTGAAGCTTGTCCGATGGGACCACCAGCTGGGAACAGGGGCTAGCATTATGCCAAATCAGCCACTAAGTGCCAAGACAAGTCTGAAGCTCTCTGAGTAATGGAAGATGTTTTATTTTAAACAGATGAAAAATGGAAGGTAGACTAAGGCCGTTGGGCTGCTCTTGATCAGGAGGCAGGGGACACCAGCTTCTGGGCCTTCAGGGTGACACTGGCCTGGGGCTAGTGAGTGGACAGAGAAAATGGAGCCCATTTCTTTTCTGCATCTCTCTTGATGTGGGAGCTGGGTCTAATGATGAAAAGGAAAAACATTTTCTTCCTTAGTCTCCAGTGCCAAATTGTAATGTAGTAAAGGCTGCTGAGCACTAAAGCATGTGGGCCCGTGGGAGACGATAATCAGAAAAAATGGGCACATGAGAAAAGCCCTCAAAGAACCTGGATGCTAATTAGGGTTAGGATTAGAACTAGGGTCAAGCACAGTGAGGTTTTTCCTGTGTGGACTTCTTTTCCTAGAACCGTGGAAGACATTAGTCAATACTTTCTGAATGAAGCAATCACAGCCACCCTAAACTTGGGGTGTGAGGCATCAGGCAGTCAAAGAAAATGGTCAAGTAGTCCCCCCACACTCCTGTAGCTCCCGGGAGTCAGAGGAGATGTAGCCGAGAGCAGCTGTGGAGCGCTGAGATCTCAGTCTCTACCTCAGACAGACTGCTTACCCTTACACATAGGCGGGCTCGGGGGCCAGAACGGGAATGAGCACAGATCCAGCAGCACTAATCGCAGTCTGGGAAGAAGGACATCAGGCCTGGTAAAGTGGAGGGTCGGTGAAAAACAAGGTGACCCTCAATGAAGTGGAATGACACAATGGCTCCAACAAAAATGACTGAGGATGGCACAGGACTGGGCAGTGTTTGTCCTGTTGCACCTAGGGTCACTACAAGTGGGAACCTAAAAATAATTTCACTTTGGAGGGGAAAAAAATCATCCAGAACAGTGACCTTTAGCTGTTGGGTTTGTGCTCAGAAGGGCAAGGATAGAGGAAGAGCCAGGGCTTAAAGCAGAGCTGTTGGTATGATACAGTTCTAGGCCGGCTGCTCCCTAGCTATGTGGGTGAGGTGCCAAGTCCAGAGTTGTGAGCAAAGGGAAGGGCCTCCAAAATGAATACTAAATGTCCACTCCTTCCCCGCTCTCCAAGGTCCAGCAGCACACCAAACACCCAGGACTTGTCATCTTTCTCCATCTATGCTGAGGCCCTCTAACTGAAGCCTTTTGGGGACATTCAGGCTCCTGTTCGCACGACAGGCTCCCCTGAGCTTTACACACACTGGGGCAGAGCCTGGCACTGGGCGCTCAGGCGGCTGCACCCAAGCACATCCGCATGGTGCTGACTCTCCCCACTAGCATAAAGGGAAATGACAAAGCACGTCACTCGTTCTGCATTATTTATTTAAGTTAGAGAGTATACATAAGTCCAGCCAGAACATAGTAGGCATAGAGCCGTACCTATTGTTACATCCTGCTAAGAAAATAGCCTTTTCATATTCCGTTTCCACCGCAGTAACACCATTCTGGAAGAAAGACATCCCCTCGTGCCAAAGCTGTCTGTGTATGAGGGCTTTAAGAGGCAGTTTTCCAAGGATTCTTTGTTCTTTTAAAAGCTACCCCTTGATGCAAGGAGTGTTTCCCAGCCCCAGGAACAGGACACATGGTCAGAGGCATGAGAGTTTAAAAGCAACATCAAAGCGGCTGTCCCTTTGGATAAGTACCAGCCACAGTTGGCACTAAAGTCCCCATAGCTCAAGGCAGTGTCGAGATTATTGACTCCGGTTTAACTGCTTTTAGTGGCAAGTAATGCCCTCAAGTCCCCCTACACCAAAGTGTTCTAATACTAGCTAAACGTGTCTCTCCGAGCTCCATGTGGCACCCTTTTTAGAATGGCATCCAAGGAAAATGTACTTGAATCCACAGTGACACAGGTAGTTGGAGAACTGTGGGGATTGTGGGGCGCTCTACCCGCCCCCCAACCATCATCAGCTCTCTTCCCAACCTGCTGCTGCTCTTCTCAGAAACCTGAGAACGACACAGCAGAGTGTCAACAGGCAACTCACTGCGAGGAGTCAGTACACATGGTGGACATGCAAGTAACAAAGTTTTCCAAATACCTTTTCCCCATTAATAAAATAATTTTAATAAAAACATAATTTAAAAGAAGTGTCAAAAGCTGAGTGTAAAATCAAAGCTGTAAACGCTATCAAAGTTCGAAGGTTCTTGTGAAGAATCATCCCTGTTTAAAAAAAACAAACATTTTAGCCATTATGTGATGTCTGTTAATGTAGGAATATTAGGAGTTACAGTCAGCTGTCTGATAAACTAGGCCTGCTTTTCATTAAACAGTGATAGTCAGTAGTAGGAGCCTAGTGTAAGTAGAAGCTAAAGCTGTTGTTTCAATAGAAGCAAACATTTTCAAGACCTGCCATCAGCTTCTGCCTCCACCCCAATACATTCCATAGCAGGAAGTCTCTTCAGAGTCTCTGACAGAGAATCCTTTGTCTATTTAGCAAGACAATTAGAAATTCCAGACTGTCAACCAGCGAGGTGCCTCTCTTCCTGTATGAGTGTTTCACCTGTGTGAAATGCTTACTTGCTCTCCTCCTGATACTCATCTACTTCTTATCCATAACCATCACAAACACAGGCTGGGCAGGAAGGGAAAGCAAGGGGATGCTGTGGCCTGGCAGCGTGGTAAGTGGCCTGCAGGTGGGAGTCGGGGAGTGGGGGGGGAGTGTGGTGGGGTGGTCTGTCTCCATAAAGATGGCAGCCTTGGAACCCCAATGGGGCAGGAACTCACTGCACCTATGCCTCCCCTCTCGATTCCAGACTGACACCCCAGCCCCCTTCAGATCCCCTCAGAAGCAGAATGTGTTCTTTTTCAGACACCATCCAATCAGTCCATTTCAACAGGACTTCATACAGCTCCGGGCACCACCCACAGAATTACTGCACTTTACAGCTGCACAAACCCTGTCACATCAAGACGACCATTCCAAGGCTGCCCAGCAATTGTTTGGATTTTGAAGGATTTACTGAATCCACTGACATAGAAACTTTGTTTTATACACAATATCCAGTTTAAAAAAAATAAGGCTTTGCAAAAATGACAAATGCCGTAATGCCAGCCCTGTCACCTCCTTAAGATCTCCCACGTTTATGGCTGAATGAAATAATGAGGGTTAAGCATCCAGTTCGCTCAGAGCTGACCAGACTGACACCTGCAAGGAGCAAGCAGGAATGGAGGCATCGGTACAAATCCACTGAGAAGCTGCTCAGAGTCTGGTGTCCCCTCTGACACATAGGCGCAGCATGACCTCCCCCCACCCCAGCAAGGTGGATGCCCATCAGGACCTTTCCAATTTCATTCTCTGGCAGATGAGTTTCTGGCACTAAGGTTCCATAACTGCCCTGAAATCTGTATGATATCACCACTTAAAAGAATAAGGAAGCTTAAAGTTACCACTTACGTCACCAAATTCAGTCATGATTTATTGATGGGAATTTCAATTCAGTGATTTCAGAGTCGGGGGAGCTGCTTCCACTTCTGTCACTGTAGGTGTCCCTATAAAATTCAGATGCTTTATTCTCCATCTGCTACCACAGGCTCACTTCACTTCCCTGCTTTCATAGTCACTACAACTATGGGGCCCCTGGGTTCGTATACCGTAGGATCTTATTATGGTGTTCTACAGCATGAGGCTGTAAAGGGATTTTCTAATTACTAAAGATACACATTTAATTGAAACTTCAGTTCCAGTACCTTAACTATTAGCTCAGAGAAATTAACTGGTTCCCAGTCAAAGAAGCAACAGCTGCGATCTACACCCTGTGACAAATGTGTTCAGGTCAGCATCGCAGAACCTGACCAATAACCCAGAGGAGGCCAGGCCAGCACAGAGAAGGCTGAGGAAGAGCACACACCATGCCAACTGTGGCTCTCTGGCAGGAACGACACCCTGGCTCCCATGGCCATTCTCATTTGTGACCATGTAATGCCTCACACAATGGATCAGTGACCACCTAGAGGACTGAAAGGAGCCCCTGATGCAGACTGGCTAGGCAATCCGCTTTTCCAGCCACTCCACAGGAAGAAGCTGTGGCAGTCTGCTTGCGTGCAGACTTACAGTCAGTTCCTCTCTCTACAGAGTCACTATGACTCAGAACTGACCCAACGACAATGAGTTTGGTTTGGGGTCTTTAAAGGACTAGAGACAAAGAGAAGCTGGTGACCGAGTGACCAGTGCCCTCACCTGGGAGAGAGTCGGCAACCTTTCTGGAGGTAATGTGGGAGCCTCCCTACGGAGGCCAGCAGGAGGCCAAAGTAGGGTGGAGAAGGCTTGATAGGTCTGGACAGGAACTCGGGGTGGTACTGAACCCCAACAAAAAAGGGATGATCTGCAACAGAAATTCAAAAGGAACAGCTCCATTATGAAGATTATACACAAGAAGGTAAAAAGCATCACAAATTCTGTTTTTAAAGTTTCCTCTTTCTATTGATCCTCAAGTATTTGAAAACAACTTAATTTGGATCTAAATAAAAAACAACCCCAAAACACAAGAGATTTACACCCTTCCCTCCAGTGGAAGGGTCTCCTATCCCAGGTCCCACTCCCTGTTCCGGTGACTTCTGAAAGACCAGGTCATACAGGTCCTGTGAGATCAGAAGGGGCTTTAAGACCAGGAACAACCTTTTTCAGAACAAGGACCTGAGACCCAGAGGTTCAACAGCTGCCCAGGAAAACCATGGTACAAGGATGAACCTCTCAGGGCTGCAGACACCAGGCCCTTCACCTCATAAGACAGTGGTGTTGCTAAGTGCGGTAGAGTCAGTTCTGACTCATAGCAACCCTGTATCAGGTTTCTGAGAAGTAGCTGCTGGGTGTGAACCACTGACCGTTCAGTTAGCAGTCCAGTGCTTATCCTACAGTGCCGCACCAGGACTCCTCAACAGACAGTGCTGCTTCCCAATTCTGTCAGGTTGCACAACACCGTACAGTCTTACATGTCCCCACTTGCCAAGGAAAGAAATTTTCCCTTAAATACAACAGTCCAAGTAATCACCTTCCAACTCCACAATTTCCATTCTCTCGCCTTCAACATCTTGGCCAACAAACTTCAAGCCTTGCTCTTCCAGACATTTTTTCAAGACGGGATTTACCTGTGAAAACATGAAAAAAATGTTGCTGGCCTCTCTGCTTAGTGTGTCACCAAGGTAACAGGAAGACTATTTTAAAGGTCATGAGGCTCAAATCCTCACCTCAAATCTATGGCGGTGTCTCTCCTCCAAGAATTCCAGATCACCGTAGAGTTTTCCTGGCAAACAAGCAGTCTACCATCAAGACCTCTCACCATCCAATGTGCTCTCCACCATACCTGCTTCCCAGCTTATGTCTGATCAGCTCCACAGCCAGGCTTTCCCACCATTTTCAAACACGTGACCACTAAAGCACACAGTATGATTCGGCTGGAAACCGCCTTGGAAAACAATTGGAATGGACCAAAATGGCAAAGCTCGACGCCCTAAGAGTGGTCTAGGGAGGCAGATATTTAAAGCACTACCCAGATGCCTCTCAGGGCCAACTCCACAGTCATCAAAGGGCGCTGGGAGTAAACAGGCACTGCCTTTGCCACCTGGTAAGTTGTCCCCAAAGCACAGAGCATTAGGGTTGAAAAGTTCAAGACTTGGAGATCATCTCCTCAAATGATTTTTAAACTATGCTGCCATGAACCAGGGATGCTATCGCTAACAGATTAAAGATGGAATCAGCCCAGTGGACAAGGCAGAAATAAATCTGGATAAAACGAGTATTTTTCTTTAAATATTTTCCTTAAGCCTTTAGCACCTGTTAGAACTTTCGAATGAACCAAATGAAACTGCCATTTTTGTGAGACAGCATGCTTAAAATATCAGCCATTTCCCATGGCTCAGCCTAGCAGTATAAGGGAGTAACAGCTTACACTGGATCTAACTGCCTCATGCTTGTCACTCATAACCAGGGTGCCCCAGGTCCCTGCCCATCTGCATGGCTGCCAACCTCTCCCGGACCCACACTTCTTCTGTAGCTATCACAATGCATTCTTAAAAAGCAAGACTAAGAAGCGGATAAAAAGAATTTCAAAATCAAGAAGAAAACCAGAAAAGCCAGCCTGGCCCTCCAGAGCCACACATCACATCTAGGCATTAGTCCCAGACGTGCCGAGCGGAAGTGTGTGCAGGCTGGCATGAGGCAGCTCTTACTCATGACGGAGTTCTTGGTCTGGAACAGGGTTCTCCTCTTGCCCAGCCTCATGGTTCCGCCCATCTGCCCGGGATTGTGTTCTGGCATGTCTATGACCTAGAGGTATTCAGACACACACATGGAATGACCAGACTCTGCTCTCACTGAATCAGCTAAGCCAATGAATATATAGGTTCTATTTCCCAGTCTTTCCTTATGAAAGATGCTTTGTCATGGGGCAGAGGAGGGCGCCCAATATCATATTAAAACCTTAGGTAGGGGGCTCACACTTCAGTCTGTCCTCATGGTCTACAGGACTGGACACAGTTCCCTCCTCTGGTCATTCCTGTCTCCAGCACTTTGAGCCAAGAGCTACTGTAAAGTACAGTACAGACGACCACACAGAGTAGGTCTGATACGAACCAGTACTTTCACAAGTCAATTCCGACTCCAGGTGCTCATGCGTGTCAAGTTGAACTGTGCTCCGTGGAGTTTCAAACGCTGTGCTGGGTGGACTCGAACCATGAAAAGTTCAGTAAGCAGCCGTGTGTTTAACCTCTTGGGCTACCCAGGGACTCCAGTGCCATATACTACATAGGCTATACTCTAACAGGTCTGTCTCCCCACTGGAGGACGAGTTGCTCTAAGACAAGGACGTCCTCTCTGGTTGGCTGTGCCGGGAGCAGAGCCAGCAGTCAGCAGGGAGCACGAATGACTAAGGAAGTATTCCACTAGTGACGTTCCAGCTCACCTTGAGGACTTTCTCCAAGACTGCACACTTAACCACCTGTGTTCCCCAAAAGCTGAGTAATAGCAAAGCTCCACAGGTACATAATACTGTTGAAGTTCCGTGAGATTAGGAACATCCCCCAATAGTTATTTGTGGAATGATGAAAAAGACTCAGTGTCCTCACATGTCTCTCATCCTTGGGCTGAGGATTCAGAGATGAGTAAGGGCACTGGCCCTATCCCCACGAGCCTTACCAACCCAAGTACGCTCCTCCAGCAGATCGAACAGGAGTTACGTTGCTGTTGAAGGAATCTGGGGGGTGCAATGGTTAAGCACTCAGCTGCGAGCCGATAGGCCCAAGTTTCTGACTCAGAAGCCACTCCATGGGAGAAAGCCATGAAAGTCTGCTTATGTGAAGACTTACAGCCTTGGAAACTATGGGGTAGTTCTCTGACCTTTGGGTTGCTAAAGAGTCTTATCAGAGGCAACAAGACGTCTAGGGTTTTCTGGTTTATGTTGTTGCTGTTAGTTGCCATCCAGTCGATTCTGACTCATAGCAACACCAGGTGTGCTGACAGAACTGCTCCATAGTTCTCAAGGCTGTGACTCTTTGGAAGCAGATGGGCAGGCCTGTCTCCCGAGGCTCCTCTGGGTAGGATCAAACTACCAACCTTTCAGCTAGTAGCCAACACCTGACTATTTGCACCAGCCAGGGAAGCATGCCCACCTGGAGAAACAATATTATATCCTAGTAGTTTCTTATTAATATGTTCTTTTAAGGTTGTTGTGTTGTTCAGTGCCGTCAAGTAAGTTCTGACTCATGGAGACCCTGTGTAAGGTTTCCAAGGAGCAGCTGATGAGTTTGAACCACTGACCCTGTGGTTCAAACCAACTTATGGTGAGTGCTTACCGTACCACACCACATGAATTAATAAAGTGCAGAGGGCAGGAGCTGGCACATATAAGTGTTTCATATCAATGTTGTTATGAAGTGCTCCTGGGAGCCGCGAGGATCAGAGGTGAATACTGTCATCAGGAAGCCCTTCTAGTTGGCTATGTGGTACCCAACTTAAAATTTTTCTGTGGTAAATTGGGAACATCACTAAAAAATTCATAATGAACAACAACAGTTTTCCTTAAACAGTGACCTAAACAAGGAACTTTGGGATGGCCCCAAGGGTCTCATTTCTGCCTCTAACCATCAATCCCTTTCATAAAGGGCCTGTCCACACCTTCTAAGCTATACTGAGATTCCAACACTTGACTCACCACAGGGTGACTTGTTTTGGGGTCAAACTCTGTAGAATTGGCATCTGAAAAACCAAAATACCTGTGTTAGGACAACAGCTACAAACAAAATGTGAGTATTGAACAGTTTCACACCTAAGCTCTAAATCACAACCTTCCTCCTCAATTTAAAGTCATTCAAAGACTAGAACAAAAACTGGGGACATTTTTAAGACATGAAATACTCACACCACATAAACTTGGATCATTTTTTTCCTACTGAACCTGTTACTCTGTGAGGTCACGCAGAACAAAATGGGGAAACCAAACCCAAGGCTTGTAAACCTAACCATCTTTCCTTAGAGGATGAGGCTTTGGGGA